TTGTCTACTGTGGCGTCCTCTATAATTTTATCCAAGTCCATGCTGACCTCCGTCTCGATCTCGATTCTCTCCAGGCTTATGCGGGATCCCAATTTCCTTCTGAGCTCGATTATAGGGGCCAACCAGTTCCTCTCATAACAGAACCGCACGAGATCCTTCCTTATCTGATCGATGAGCTTTTCCAGTTCCGTAGCTTTATGGAAGTTGAAGCCTCTGCCACGTTCTTCCGACCCCCTTGCCCTCTCGCTGAGACAAGTCCACCCTGGTTTCTTATTTCCTGCCTGTTTTCATGCCATCATCCTTCGTCAAGACTCCCCTCTTCGATCCTGTTTTCATCCTGTCTCATTTTCCAAAATTCTCCGGATCTTCCACTTCTTCTGCCCTTGACTGAGCCCTTTGGAATGGCTCCGGTGTTGATCCGCCGGGATGTGCCCGGCCCATCCAAATCTGGGAATTCAGACTCATCCTCCAAAAACGCGAAGCGGTTCTGTAGTATCGGGAACGCCTTTTCCGCTTCTGCATACGGCACTCGGTCTGTCAGCATCTTCTTCAGGATCCTACTTCTTCGTCCGCGTTCAGGACAGTTCCTATCATTTGCTGGGTGGTCTTGTTGGCAATTTGTGCAGCGAAGAGGGCTGTCGCATTCTTTGTCCAGCTCATGTGCTTTCCCACACTTCCTGCATTGTGCTCGTCCTGTGCATCTGGTCTTCGTGTTTACACTGCTTTACAGAGAAGATATAAAGTTCTGCACGAAAGTTGACTCCATACAGCTTGATCGAGTCAGGTGCCTCCCTCGCGTGCACAATCACCTTAACGTTCCTCGTGTCCACTAGCTTGCCTTCTCTGTCCTTTTTCCTGATCCGCTCGACCTTCTTAACTGGAACACTGGCGATGATAGACGCACTCATCTCCTCCTCCGTGAATTCTCGCGGCACATTGGAGATGAAGATCGACGTTTATTTGTGGCCCTGCGGAATGAATATCTTCAGGTTCTTCGACTCCAGATTGATTCCTTCCAGCTGAGTGAAGTCCGCTACTGATTCCAGCTCCAGCTTGAACCGAAATTTGCCGATCTTCGTAATTTCGCTACACCGCGCAAACCCGGCGTCGATCAGGATTTTTTCGACTGCTGCTGGATGACTTGGGATGCTGGATGACGTCATACTTGATCGATTCAAGATAAACTACCTTCGATGGCGTGATTTTTGTGTTGTTTGGTGCATCCATGGTTGCGTTGATTACCGCTTTTCCTGCTGCTGTACGTAAGCCTGACGGTTCCCGCCTTGCTCCTCCTGCTGCCGATGACCCAGTTTTTCTACTCTGCGACCGGGTTGTGACCGGTTGGCTTGTTTGCGGCATCTTTTCTTTCCGATTTTTTCACCGTAGATTTTTGGTTATTTACTTAAAATTAACTTCTATTAGCTCTTTATTTAAAACCAACTGATGCTTTTTCCTTTCTTAAAACTATTTTTTTTCACTTAGAGGCTAATTTAAGATTTCCTTCTTTGGTTTTCTCCACTGAATACCACCCTTATTACATCCATCCTATCTTCTATACTAATTGAACCGCCATGGCCATGTTGGCTCTTCCACGAGAGAAAGTTTTCACTTATTCAGCTTTGTATGTTCGTAGCCGGAATTCAACAAAATTTCCACTTTATATAGCGCACGGCGGTGCGGGAAACCAAATATCATTGGTTTTGCACGAAATCACTCGATGTTTTACGGTATTTTTACGATTTTTTATGAGCTCATAGAAATGCAAACACTTTTCCGAGCGGTGCACGTTTTCTTTCTGAAAAAAAATGTTCCCTGAGTAATATCTCAATGAAAACAACAGTGAAAGCTAGTCACGCAAATAGAAGGAGCACTGTTGGGCACTTTCTGAATTATTTCAATAGTATAATTACATTGCAAACCCAAATAAATCTACCTACGTAAAAATAAATAAAATAAGAGTGATTTGCGGCGCACCCAACGTCAGTGCCTATTCGTAGGCGTACTACGACGCGGCTATCAAACAAAGGAGTAACTGTAACATTGTTGCCAAAATAAAAAAAAATGCTCATTGATCGACATCAGTGTTGCAAGCTTCACTCTGCGTAACTCTTCTATTATCAACTCTGGTGCTGGTGCAAGACATCGACAACGAGGTACTAAGTCAGTGACTATGCACTGCTGTCCCATTTTCAGCAATCTTCACAAATTGTTCCACATCCATAATTCGCTTTCTGTATGTCATCTGTGTAGAAAATCAGCACATTTGCTCAACACAGGACGCGGCCGAAAATACTTTTGTGAAAAATTGCTTTTTGGCTAATTTTTCACTTTGATCGCTCAGAAGGCGCTCAATATACAGAAAATATACAATATCACAGCGGCGTCGGTGGTGTAGTGGTAAGCGTGATTGCCTCTCACTCCAAAGGGCCTAGGTTCAATCTCAGTCGCCGCTATCGGAATTTTCTGAGGCATAAAATCTCTAAACACGCCTTTCCAAGCCTTTGAGATTTTCCTTATTAGAGATTTGAATAGATTTTTCTCCTTTAGTTTACTTAAATCTTTAGTTTTTATTAGTTAGGTAGGTTCCGATTCAACACATTGTAGTTTCATTTTTATACCTGTGACTTTTTTACCAATGGGATTAGTACGTAAGGGGGTTAGCTTTTGATAAGTTCTTTACTGCCGCTCTTCGCATGTCGGTCCCATAGTCGTTTTTGTCAAAACTGAGTTTTTCAATGCAAATGATAGCTAATTACCCATATTTTAATAATGCTGGATGAACTCATCAACTTTGTTCTGAAAAAGTTTGGAAAGACAGTCACATTGGTTGTCCCATCACATAAGAAGCAATGGTAAGAAGCAAACTTAAAACGCGATTTTCTCGGCTTACCGATTTTCGCTATGGGACGGACATGTGAAGAGCGGCAGTTTAGTGGGAATGACACTGATGAAGACTGCACATTGTAGTCGAAATACGTATCTGTCATGGATACCAAAATTAATTAAGTGGAATTATATGGAAGATAACCTTTTTTTGCTGTTTTATTTAAGCATTCCGCTAACAACCCAATTTCATTACATCATCTAATCGCGCCTTTCTTCGGAAGGGAAGTGAAGCCGTTGGTCCGTCCATGAAATCTGATGGGTCGATAGGTAGGTTCCAGATATGGGATCTGCCTCCCTGGCGTCGGTAGCATTGATACTCAGTACGGAAAACAAGATCAATGGAAAACAAATCGATGGAAAAAGAAAATTTTTGTATGGAAAACACGGTTTGAACAAAAACGAGAATATGGGTGTATATCATCATTTGCATGCACTAATTAGCATGAAATTATCTATTTTTTTTTTCATTTTTTTCGAATGTAACCCGCAATCACATTTTCGTCCAGAGGAAACTTACTGTTTCACATAACAGAAAAACAACACGAAATAAAAATCTGATCCACAGAGTTTCCTACTTTCATCCCATAACAAAATATAGACTGTGGATTTTTTGAAAGTATGATAAAAATAAACACCATTCATGAAATTAACTCAAAGTCAGTACATCAAAGTACCCAATAAATACTTATTTTAGGTAAGAATTCTCGATTATTTTGTCGAAAAGATGTATCAGGTTTTGTAAATAATTCAATTGACGTAACTGGTAGCTCGCCCACGCATACTAATGTCGTTTTCGTTTTTGCGGTGTAGCACCGGTGTAGTGTAAGCAGGAATAAGCGCGAGTCTTTAACAGCTCAACATAATTTGTTTGTAAACAAAGGTGCATCCTATATCTACACCCTAAATTATTTCGGTGTACGGCAGTGTAGCACCGGTGTAGCTACACCGCAAAAACGAAAACGACATAACACTACCATCACATGGAGAAAATTTAGCGCGAATCTAAGTTCACATAAGAAAACTAAGCAAGCTATGAACACTATCGGTAAGGGGAGAGTTTCCCCATAAAAGCCTGGTACGCAGATGAAAAGTAGTGACGTTTTTACGTGCTACGGGATAGGACACGGAATGCTAAAGAAATTTCTTTTCCTTAGCATTTCTTGACCCAGTACGCAGTTCAAAAGAAATCGGTAAAGGAAAGATCGATTACATTAGTATCGTGATCGATATGAAGGTGGCGCATTCGGAATGCAATTTCATTTTCCTTGCGGAATAATGGTCTGACCAATTATTCCGTTAGGTAATTTTAACTTTTGTTGTAAAAATGATGTTTTGGATGCATTTTAACAACATAAAAATTTATAATTGTTGATTTTAAAATTAGACGACACCTACCTATGAACTCAAAATTTAGCAAAAGACACCTTCCTATAGCTGTCAAATTTACTTTTGGGAATATTCCTCAAAATTACTTTTCCGTTTTCTTTTCAGCTGCGTACCAGGCTAAAAGCCTGGTACGCAACTGAAAAGTAATGACGTTTTTACGTGCTACGGGATAGGACACGGAATGCTAAAGAAATTTCTTTTCCTTAGCATTTCTTGACCCAGTACGCAGTTCAAAAGAAATCGGTAAAGGAAAGATCGATTACATTAGTATCGTGATCGATATGAAGGTGGCGCATTCTGAATGCAATTTCATTTTCCTTGCGGAATAATAGTCTGACCAATTATTCCGTTAGGTAATTTTAACGTTTGTTGTAAAAATGATGTTTTGGATGCATTTTAACAACATAAAAATTGATAATTGTTGATTTTAAAATTAGACGACACCTACCTATGAACTCAAAATTTAGCAAAAGACACCTCCCTATAGCTGTCAAATTTACTTTTGGGAATATTCCTCAAAAATTACTTTTCCGTTTTCTTTTCAGCTGCGTACCAGGCTTAACGGATGGTTTTGTTGATTTGCATAGGCGAAAAGGGCATTACAGGATTTATTTACAAAAGCTGATAAGCCCTCTTCAAATGTAACGCAAGCATTATGGCTTTCTTTTAAGTTCCTGAACAGGCAACCGGAACATAGTGGACAAGATCAAATAGTAGATGAACGTAGGTAGGTACTTACATTATATTTCTTACTTTTTATCCTGTGTCCTGTCGACTTTCTCTGTAACTTCAGCATCCACCTTGTCTGTTGATGTAGATTCTCCGGCTTTTGCAACCAGTTCCTTGTAATGCTCGACAGAACCAACCTCCACATTGGATGGCACTTCCGGTTCTACCGGTGGTTCCGGTGATTCAACTTTCCTTGCTTCTTCCTCCTCTTGCTCTTGCTGTTGCTTTTGCTTTTTCTTCTCCTTGAGTTTATCACGAACTTTGTTGCCTAAACGAGATGCAGCCATTACCTTTGCCACTCGCTTACTTTGAAGCCAGCGCGAACCCCACGATTTTTCCGGTTCATCGTCTGTCATTTTCTGCTCCAGTAGTGTTTCATCGCTTGAATCGTGTATTTCTACAACGTCTGGATCATGATCGTCATCATCATGTTCATCACTGGACGATTTATCCTTATCATCATCGTTGCTGGTTGCACTTTCCGGTTCACTTTCGCTGTTATCGACCGAAGCAGCTTTTTCGGCTTCATCTTTATCGGTTTTAGCAGAATCGTTACGCTGAGTAGTTGTTTCCGGTTCGGAGTCTGAAATTTCTTTCACTTCGTAATCGAGCTCTTCGTCTTGTTCCAAGTTTGCTACAGGATGTTCTTCGTTATTGGGGCTTTCCGCTTCTGTGTGTTCGCTTTTTCCAGTGTTTGATTTGACGGATTCTTTCCTATTGCGTTTTGGTGACTTGTCCTCTTCGGTAAGTTCACCTTCTTCCGGTTCATCTTTGTGATCTTGTTTGGGTGCAGACGTTTGTACTTGCTTTTCTTTCAGTTGTTTTTCCAACTCTTCGATGTTGTCAACGAATATCGATGATTTAGCTTTTTTTACTTTTTCGTCTTCCGAATCGGACGATATGCATAGAGTTTCCGGACTCGGTATAACAGGAATCACTTCCGGTGAACTATCTCTACTTTTCGGATCTTGTACTTCTTCTTCTGGTTTTGCTTGATGAGCATCACTTAATGTCTTCGGTGATTCCACTACTTTTTCCTTGGACTTGCTTCTCGATTTTCGAACAGGTGGTTGTTCCGGGACTGATGATTGAGATGTTTCCTCATGGGGATCTTCCTCACCTACCTGACGAATACGGAAGTTCCTTTTCAATCGCACTCGCTTGGGTTGTTCTGTAGCCGGTGAGTCACCAGACAGTTTAGCACTGCTGGTACTATCCGGTTTAGATTTTTCGTTAGTTTTCTCTGCAGCCTTGGATGGCTCTCGGCCAGTATCAGAAGCATTTTCGGCATCTTGATCAGAGTCTAGTTCAATTTTCGTTACCGGTTCAAGAGCAAGCTGAGAACGGATTGCCCTAGCACGTGCTTGCAGTTCAAGTAGTTCTAGAACGGTCATTTCTTTTTCACCTGATATGAAAGAAAAACATCAAACTTAGTAAGCTGAGGCTAATTTAGATTGTTTCAACTTACCTTTCTTGTCACCATTCTTGTTGGGTTTCTCGTTCGATTTAGGTTCTGCAACAAAAAAATATAGTATACAATGACTTTCGTTGCTGAAAATACGTTCTTGTGGCAAAAATTGGCGATTGAAATAAACCACACTATGACGGTTGATAACGTAGCAAAATTGCTTCGCATGGGAGTTAAAATCCTATTCCTTCGATTTGGGTTGTACACGAAGATTGAAAATGAAAAAATACTGGATGTGTCCAATCAAGCCATCAACGTGTATTCTACGGAAACAGTTCCTTGGAAACCCGTGATCGGGATTGCGTGCGAACTGAGTGGCAAAAGTTGTCGATTGAAGTTCGACAGGAATCGAGGTCCGATTGAAATTGTTCCAGGACAAAGAATCTTTTTAACGTCCGATACAAAGTATGAGAATAAAAAGATTGACACTGTTATATATGTTACAAATTTGAAGAAACAACTGACAAGATTGAAACCGAACGATGTTGTAAAAATAGAGCAAATTGAACTGAAAGTATGCAAAATCAATGGAAAATTCATGCAATGTTGCGTAAGGAATAACGATGACATCAGGTAATTGAATTTCTTAAAAGCAAAACTATCTTAATACCGACGTTTGCAGCATAAACAATGTTGGTATCTTTTACAGTCCTCCGCTGAGACTGCATCCTTATGATCGCTTAATAATTAAGGCTTTGAACAGCAAGTGGAGATTTGACGAGAACGATAAACAAGAATGTGTAATGGCTCTTAATAACAATTGCCATTACATTGTGATACCTGACATGGAAAGCCATATGGTAATTCATGATTTGGATGAATTAATTCAGTTTCACCAAATCGAAAACCGAACAATTCGAACCATAGCTAAACTTGCCCCGTCTGTAGTAGACCCCTGCATCAAACATAATATTCAACACGTGGCTGGAGTTATTACCCAGGATGCCGGTGTTATCAGGCAATGTAAAGAATATTGCAAATCAGTACTGTTCGAACTATCTAATTTGAATCAATTACGCAATGAAGATATTGTGCATCAGGTTGACGTTTTCATCACAAATCCTGATCTACTAGAGCCACTCAAATTCAGTCTCAAAGAGCTCAATCAAACCACAATCCATAAAATTGGTGCGGTGCCGATACAACTGCAGCAGAAGCAACACATCTTAAGTCAGTGTATTGAATATGCCAGCAACAATTGCAAAGCTAATGCCATCATCCTTTGTACATCAAAAACTTCATGTGAATCTGAAAAACTGTCCAGAAGAAAATTACCCTGTCCGGTCCTCATCACAACCAGCTATGACGATGTCATGTACTATCTGTTGCTTCGGAAATATTGCTTTCCAATCTCGATACCACGGAACATAAAATCAAACCGACAACTCATCAAATACGCAACCGTTTACGGGAGGAAATTTGGATTTCTGAAACCAGGTAATCTAACCGTTACTGGTTTCGGCGAGAGCTTGATTCAAGGTGTGGAATTACGGTACGTGCCAGACGATTTAATTCTTCGACTTCAATAAAATTCAGCTATAGCTCGAAATCTTCACTAACCTGCTGCCTTGGTTTTCTTCAACTTAATATCTTTTGACTTGATCTTCTTCGCTGCTGGTTTGGCAATTTCTACCTCAGAATCTGACGAAATTTCATCCAACGATATATGTTCTACAACAAATTTCATAGTCATTTTTACATAAAATTACTCCTCCAATAGGTAACATTAAAATTTTAAAAACTACTTACCAATAAATTTCTCATCCTCGTCCGAAGATGATTCGGTATCCGTTGGACACTTGGTATTGTTGATGATCGCTAATAGCCGCTTCGTAGATATTCCAAGCATCTCATCCAAGCATTGTTCCTGGATGGATTCGATGGATTTGCCCTGCAGAAAATCCGGAACAAGGCATTTGACTTCCTTCGGTTTCAAGCACGTGAAAGCTTGCCGGATCAATTCGACGCGATCATCAACGTAAGCACCGAGCGGCTTTATGTCCAATGGTTCGGGTTTGATTTGAATCGGTGTGGAGGCAGCTGCTGTTACTGTCTCAGATTTTACCTTTATTAACTTACTTTTTTGTGAAGGCATTTCTAACAACATAAACCGTTAACTATAGTTACTATACTTTTACTAGTAAGTAATTTCGTTTAACGCAAAACCAAAATTTTTGTCACAAATGAAACGATGCACCAAACAACGAAAAACAACAAACCATGATATAGTTTGACAATCGCAGTAATGGTCAGGCTCTTTTTTTTTCTTTGCTGTGTGTCCTGAATGTTGGACGGCCCTCTTAGGCTTAGACTAAAGCCCTCATTAAAAGTATGGACGACTGTCACCACAAAACTGAAAAAAAGCATGGTGGGTATATAAATGGTGATACAGCTTTGTCACTATATAGGCGAGGAGGTCGCGGGGGGGAAATGTGCGGTTTTAGAACAAATTGTAAACAAACTCGGTCGCTGTCCCATACAAAAATCCAACATGGCTGAATCGTGAATTTGACACATTAGAGCACCTATTTGTAGTCACCTTGAATAAAAGCTGTTCCAATCGAGCAAAGCGGTGCATTTTGACGGTTCGATTGGAACAACTTTTGACAGACGTCCATACTTTTACTGTAGGGCTTTATCACGGTCCATCTCGCCACTCTGGTTGTCTTGTTTGTAGATTATATGGTTTCTTCGGTTGATAATTAACCGAAGAAACCATATCTAGACAAACATTTCAAAAGGTCCTATCTGTCATTGAAGCTGATTGGAGAAAAATTGATTTGAACTTTTGTAATATATTTTTAAATGCCATTTTCAATTACGACATAAAAGATAATCTTTTGTATTCTCAAATGCATAGGATACACATAGAATTCGACTGAAGTGTATGATTCTTCGTTTTATTCATAATTTTCAGGTTTAATTCGTGGTTTTGTTACATAGGACCTTTGGCTTTTTTCAGTATCAGTTAGGACCTGTCAAATTGGTCTGATTGCAAAGTTAATGTTACTTAGGACCTTGGTAAGAATACGGTTTAGAGGTCAGATAATTACAACTCTAGATAAACATTTCAAAAGGTCCTATCTGACATTTGTAAACAAATCGAGTTTAATGCTTCTCTATACTGCAGAGCTCACCATCTCTAAGTATTGTTCTAGAAATTTTAATTATCAATATTCAGAAAATTATAAAAATATGTGAAAAAAACGTCCAATTTGAAAGTTTTTATAATATCGCACAGCTCTCTGATTGGACCTTAAACATGTTTACAGTCCAATCTGTCATTCAACCAAAAAAAAAATACAAATGCTATTAGGACCTTTGTTTCATCTCGTGTTTCACGTGGAATAGAAAAACTAAAACTCATAATAGTTAGTTGGAAATGCTATACTAATATGAACATGAAGTTTTAGAAATTCCTATGGATCCAAGATCTAACTGGGAAGTGGGATATGAGAAAGTTTAATTTACGATGCCTGTAATCAATCGCTCTGCTTCTGGTATGGAGTTGACGAATTAATTGCGATTCCAGGAGTACACCAAGGCAAAAGCTTATTCAAAATTCTGTCAAATCCGACATGCGATATTACAAGCGTGAATTTGGACGAGGATTTCGATCCAATTGCGGATCAACCACTTGAATTGCCAAGTGCTAAATTGGACGATTTACGCAAACTGATGCCATATGTCAAGCAAAAAGATTATTTTGCAACATTGCAACAGAAAAAAACAGGAAGAAGAACAATAATACGGTTGTAGACCACTTTGATGTGGATCTCAATCCACTGGAGGACAACGATGTAGATTTGATCGAATAACATGAATGAATGTAAATTATTGATGAACAGCTTGAGCTAATAAATGTAAAACGAATGATGCAGAATGAAAAAAAAAGAGTTTGTTTATAAAAATATACCAAATATTAAAAAATATGCAAATTTTCCATACACTTACATTTTTCCTGCATACATCAGAAAAAAAATAATGGACAAGTTCTTATTATAAACGTTGTTTACTTAATAAATTGGCAGAATAGTAGTTTCAAGCCCATCAACAATTACAAATAATGATGTAGTTGTAATTATCTGACCTCTAAACCGTATTCTTACCAAGGTCCTAAGTAACATTAACTTTGCAATCAGACCAATTTGACAGGTTCTAACTGATACAGAAAAAAGCCCAAGGTCCTATGTAACAAAACCACGAATTAAACCTGAAAATTATGAATAAAACGAAGAAACATACACTTCAGTCGAATTCTATGTGTTTCCTAAGCATTTGATAATACAAAAGATTATCGTTTTATGTCGTAATTAAAAAAGGCATTTAAAAATATATTGCAAAAGTTCAAATCAATTTTTCTCCAATCAGCTTCAATGACAGATAGGACCTTTTGAAATGTTTGTCTAGAACTACATCATTATTTGTAATTGTTGATGGGATTAAAACTACTATTCTGCCAATTTATTAAGTAAACAACGTTTATAATAAGAACTTGTCCATTTTTTTTTCTGATGTATGCAGGAAAAATGTAAGTGTATGGAAAATTTGCATATTTTTTAATATTCGGTATATTTTTATAAACAAACTCTTTTTTTTTTCATTCTACATCATTCGTTTTACATTTATTAGCTCAAGCTGTTCATCAATAATTTACATTCATTCATGTTATTCGATCAAATCTACATCGCTGTCCTCCAGTGAATCGAGATCCCGAGCGAGCTCCACATCAAAGTGGTCTACAACCGTGTTATTGTTCTTCTTCCTGTTTTTTTCTGTTGCAATGTTGCAAAATAATCTTTTTGCTTGACATATGGCATCAGTTTGCGTAAATCGTCCAATTTAGCACTTGGCAATTCAAGTGGTTGATCCGCAATTGGATCGAAATCCTCGTCCAAATTCACGCTTGTAACACAGACAAACAGACATAACACTCGCAAGATGTTCATCGAACAAGCATTTATCGGTCAATTTAAAAGTATCTTAGTTGGTAATACCGCCACCTGTGGCGCGCATAGTCAATTCCCTTGCGTTTGACGTTTTCACACTACCGCCATCTGTTCAGCGTACTACCTACCACAGTGTACTCAACAGATGGCGGATATTTTTTAACGACGATTTTTACAGTGAGAAATATTCAATGTGTTATGTCTGTTTGTCTGTGCTTGTAATATCGCATGTCGGATTTGACAGAATTTTGAATAAGCTTTTGCCTTGGTGTACTCCTGGAATCGCAATTAATTCGTCAACTCCATACCAGAAGCAGAGCGATTGATTACAGTCATCGTAAATGAAACTTTCTCATATCCCACTTCCCAGTTAGATGTTGGATCCATAGGAATTTCTAAAGCTTCATGTTCATATTAGTATAGCATTTCCAACTCACTATTATGAGTTTTAGTTTTTCTATTCCACGTGAAACACGAGATGAAACAAAGGTCCTAATAGCATTATTATAATGTGATTCATAAACGTACACTGAAACAAAGATAATAGTTAGGAATACTATTTTGCAGAAAACACTTATTTTCAGTATAACCATAGAGGTAACTCTAAGACTAGAAGGTCCCGAAATAACGTGCTCAACTTTTTGGCTCAGCTCTGGTACTCTCTTCGGTCCCAAGCTAATCGATTCACCCTTCGAAACATAGGAAAAACCAATAACCCCTCATTTTATCTGTCAAACTTTCATAGCGAATCAAAACAAACATTGCGTAGTACTAGAATTTCGACTAGAATAGGGTACGTTAATCGTTTGCTTGGGACCAATAGGCTACTAAAGTGGTGAGCCAATTTGAAATTGTTAGTTTCGTATTGATTGTTGGTATAACCACAAACGAAGTGACAGACGGAGCGGCTCGAAAACTTTGGTGACTAACCTGCTATTGCAATTTTTCAGTGTACCACATGGCAACACCACTACTTCTGGATTGTACCACATGGCAACACTACTACTAGATTGAACTAGCATTTTCACCAAATGTACTAGAATGTTTTGGTTCTATCTCTTTCACTCTACTCAAAACTGAAATGCATAAAAAAATGACAAAATGAAAAGGAATCTTTGCACACTGTCAAAGAATCATTGTACACAAAATCAACTTTGTTCAAATCAAAACAAAAAAACTAACCCATCTGGTGGATGATGGCACAAGCTTCCAAGAAAATTCTACTACAGTGAACCACATTATTTAAATGGATTTCTTCGCCAGTTAGTCGTCTGTCACTTCGTTTGTGGTATAACCATAGAGGTAACTCTAAGACCACTGGGTCCCGAAGAAAATCATTATTATTTTTGGCTCACTCAGTACCAGAACAACGGTCCCAAGCAGTCCCAAGCTATTTCACTCACCCCTGCATGTTCTGCATGAATCCACACACCCCTGATGTTATCTGTCAAACTTTCATAGCGAATCAAAACAAACATAGTGTAGTAATAGGGTACGTTAATCGTTTGCTTGGGACCAATAGGCTACTAAAGTGGTGAGCCAATTTAAAATCGTTAGTTTCGTATTGATTGTTGGTATAACCATAGAGGTAACTCTAAGACTAGAAGGTCCCGAAATAACGTGCTCAACTTTTTGGCTCAGCTCTGATGGTACTCTCTTCGGTCCCAAGCTAATCGATTCACCCCTCGAAACATAGGAAAAACCAATAACCCCTCATTTTATCTGTCAAACTTTCATAGCGAATCAAAACAAACATTGCGTAGAACTAGAATTTCGACTAGAATGGGGTACGTTAACCGTTTGCTTGGGACCAATAGGCTAGTCAAGTAGTGAGCCAATTTAAAATCGTTAGTTTCGTATTGATTGTTGGTATAACTACATTTAAAACCGTTAAATCTACCATGATTTCGGTATACACAGTCAATCTGGAATACTCATTTTATAAGTATATATTTTACGTATTTTTCAGTATACAACGTATACGTCAAAAGATGAGTAATTTTAAGTTCACAATAGGGAGTAATAAATATGCATTTTCATAAATTCATCAACAAATCAAAAATGCGTTAAAAGTAGTAACTATTCAGAAAGGACAATTTTCAGGTTTCTCTGCTTTCTCCATTTTGCATTTGCTTGAAAGTTCTTTGCTGGCGGTTTGTTTTAAGCATCGTTGCGTTTTTGTTTCGTGAAACTCGTAGAAAATGGACCAATTATCGAAAATTCTGGACAAAGAAACTTTTGAGAAGCTTGCTGGTAAGT